GCCCACCTTTTTGTTAAATCGACCAACATTCTTCTGTGAAAGCACAGCGGCGAGGCTAATAAGCTTCAAGCCATCAGAAAAATCCGTTTCCTAGGTAAATAAGATGAATGACTCAAAACGCTGCGAGTACTTAATCTGCAAGGGTCCCATCCAGCAAGTGGGGGGGGGGTGCATGTGGAGCGAAAGTTCACCTAAACATAAGTAATCGAATTTTTCGCAAGAGAGGAAAGCTTCGGAGTGGGTGAGAGCAAAAGCGCATTCACACATCAAGCGCATTCTTTTCCCTCGCGATGGAACGAACTTATGTAGGCTGCAGGAAGTGTCTACCACATGCCCCCCTTGCTGGATAAGACCCATCTACAGCAACATTAGAACTAGATTATCTGGACATCCCGAGAAAATTCAATGAGATGTAAGCTGATCGATTTGTCATTGAGACGCAGGTTCAGAACAACGTGAAAAATAATATTCTCAAAACGAAAGAAAACATGCATATTCTATAGAGAACATAAAACACAGAGCAGAAATGTGTAAGTTACCAAGCTGTGGATGGATTCTCCAGCCTTCTTGAGATGATTGTTCACCCAGCGGGTGAATGTGTTTTGCTGGATTATTTTCCACTCAGCGTCATCAAGTCTTATTGCGGGAATGACCTATAAGAAAACGAAAAATGAGCAATCTCCATTTAATTTTACACAAAACAGCAGTGTGGTGTTTGGCGGTTTGTTTGATTGCTGTTCTTTGCTTATTTGTTACAAACCGGCGAATTCGATCGTTCGTAGACTACAAAAATTAGCTGCGGTATGGTCCGAGTGGGTGAAAAATAGCCTCCAAGGTATAAACAGTTGCAGCTGATGTGAACCCTACACGGCATGTACGGTAGAGGGCGGAGTTGGGCCAAGTGGGCGAGGCGAGGGTTAAACTCTTCGGTTTCGATGCCTATGCTCCCAATTTTGATTCCATAGAGACACAACGGGGGAGGGGACAAGAAAGAGAACTCGGCAGCCTGGAAACCTAAATTCTTGAACTGTTGTAATAAAATGCACATGTGAATGGGTACAGTAGATGAAGATTAAATTCGACGGTCATATTAACAACGACAACTAGCAGGTTTCGAGGAGAAGGGCGCATACGAGGCCAGGACCACATCGTTAAGTGAGGGTTGTGGTGATTTTCTTCTTAGCCCAGTTCTCAGCAGCATTGTAGTGCGCGCGATATCAAGTGCCACAAAAATCGGTAAAAAAAAAAGAATAGTGAAGTTAGATTACAACTTGTACGTACCTCTTGTTCCTGGTCGTGGTCTCGCGTTTTCCCATGGGGATGCGGTTCATACATTTAACGGCTATTCGTGATCTTCCGTATGTCTTTTACCTGTAAGTCTATAGCTGTTGGTAAACTACAAACTATGGCACGCAGTCAAAGAAAAATTTGGGCGACATATACATATATAGAACCAGAAAGTAGAAGACCACCATACCATACGCACACTCACATAGAAAAAAAAAACGATATGTAGGAGTTGGCGACCCTTTCTCGTTTGCACTCTCCTTCACCCTTGGTGGTACACGTGTGGTACATTGGGCTACGTATGTGCCAAAAGCTTGGAAACACTTATTTTCGTTCGAGCGCGGCCAATATGCTACGAAACCTCCTCAAATTCATAAATTCCCTACAAAATCAAGTGTAGAATATGATGACCTACTTAAATCCCGAAACCGACAATCATAACTGAAGATAAGATTTTAAGAAATAACGCGTCAAGAGTTTGGAACTTTGCTCCTCTCATCAATGTAATCAACTCCTACTCTTCAATGTTTGCATGTTTTTGTCCTTGTTGAGCTCTAAAGGAACAATAGCACGGTTAAACTCCGCAGACTAAGGGCTTATCAAAGCGAGAGGTAGAAAACTGTGCTCAGTAACGAGTGATTTTCCGCTTTTTTGGAAATGAAGTTGTAGATTGTGAAGTGTTCTGCCAAGAGAAAAGCTAATTTATGTACCAAAATTAAACAGTCAGAAAGAGGGGAAGTGTTGTTATAGATGAGGATGTGTCAGAGCATTTGACGATTTACCTATTGGTGTCAGGCGAAATGTGGGTGGGCTAAATAGTATATTTGGTTGTTCGGAGAGTTTCCGCCGTCCGCCGTTTTTAGTAACTCACTTCTGAACGCTTCATTTCTGAATCACTTCTGAGAAACTGTTACCACTTTATATATCAACAATTGATAGCGCATACCTCGCTGTGCGTAATACTACTGTTGCTTTAACTTCGAATTTTTTTTCGCCTTTTTTTTTTGAAGCATTGAATACAACATACTCAACAGACTGTTTTGTACAAGTTTTTTGTTTCCTCTCAAATTAGACCGTGGAAGTGCCGAAGCAAGTGAGCATTTGGTACTGAATCCACGAAAAATTGGCTGAGCAGTCGTGATTTAACATGTCTTCCTCGCGATAATAAAATCTTTGAAGATTAGAGTGACGATCGGATATCGAAGACTGACCAAGGCTAACTGTGGGTTTTGATCAAACCAAATCTGCCTGGAGTTGTTGGAGAGGCCACTTTTCAAGTGTGTGTCCAAAGAACGCCCGAAGGAGTCGGCAATTGGGTGCAGCCGACTCTTTTCCCACAGTTGCGCAGCCCCATCTCGCACTTCCAGCCGTGCACAAGTTGAACTAGCTGAGCTACAAAACTGTGCTGCGAACATCTTGCACAGTAGACCTCTTGCCTACCAACTGCCACTTTTCCAGCCATCTGGATAGTCTTTTCAAAGAGATCAAACGTTGAAACCCCATGATGGTGAAACGACCTTCGCCAAGTTCTTCGCCACAGAGCTCCAGCAATTCCAACACCCGTGTCTATCAAACCCTCTCCTTTTGGGCAGAGGTGTAGGGATTGTGTTTATTTCGATTAAAAATGCTTTGTTGAAACGAGACTTGCGCTTTTGCATTTGAAGGTCAAAATCGGCGGAACTTTTCGAGTAAGCCAATAAAGGATAGTCTAGAGAATGAAATCTGAAGAACAATGCGCTTCGATAGTCAGAATAGTCGAAAATATGGGTTTCCTATCACGTCCTTTCAACTTACCTAAATTTACCACTGTTCTTTACGATTTGTTAATGTTGCAGTCCAACACCCGTTGTTAATGATATCTGCCCAGTGTTCACGGAAGTCATAATAATCGGACCCAGTCCACACATCAGATATCATCGTTTCGTTAAGAGGAAATTCGTCCCTAGGTTAATCTCCATATGAGTGCCCGACTGTTACGATTAACGGGACTGTGCGAAATAATTAGGAAGCAAAATCTAACGATAACACTCGCGGATTATCGACGAAAATTGGGTGCAGCCAAGAAACCATCGGTCACCATCATGGTAATCAAGACTATCTAGTCTTGAGATGGGTACCACAGGAAATGTGTGACTAAAATGAAGCTTCAAAGATCAATACACACATATCTTGGCCCCAATGCTCTCACATGAAGAAGATTTTCAAAGAGTTCGTTACCGGAGACAATAGCTGGGTAGCATGGAAACCATATGCCACGTCACCAGTGGCTGTTCCCACACGAAACATCACAAAAACGCCAAAGAGTGAACTACGCCTTCCGTTGTGCTGTGGTGGAATTCTCAAGAAATGCTCTACTTTATACACTCCTTGGTGTATTCATCATGATCATTAAATCATATGCTTCTCAGCTCCAGAAGTACGCCGACACAGTTCGGCAGAGGCACCAAAAACGCCACAATATTTGCTTTCGCCACGACGACGCTCGTAAACATGTTGCGATAGTGTCTCAGCGAAAACTACCTTATTGGTCAGATTTGGTGCCAGCCGGCTACCTTATGATTCATGCCACTGGACATCACCCTTGCGAGGAAAAAAATTCCATGGGTCTTTAGGAACACGAATCTAATGGTGAGATCTACAACTATTTCGAATTGCAGCAGAGAAAGTTCTGGGCTTCAAGAATAGAAAAGCTGTCCTTCCGATGTACATCATTGGAATATGACTGCGGTTCCCTAGCAATGCCAATGTGAAGTCAAGCTAAAATTTTATTGAGAATCTAATGCTCAACCGATATTAGAATCTGTCTCGAGGCATTACAAACCATCTCAGAACCCTCCCCCCCCCACCCAACGATCTCTATTGGTGTGGAGATTGGGAGATTAGGAGATTGGGATAGAAGTGAGATATGACGGCGAAGAAAATCAGATGCTTATTGATTAAGTCACCGGAGCTTAGTAGATTGTGAGAATAGAATAGCATGAGGGTAGGAGATTATTATAATAGTAGATTAGGAGGTTGCGCTAAAATGATTAAATACCCATTGATCGATTCGACTAAAGACGCCTGATCACCATTTCCCACTACACTACTCAGAAAATATCTAATCTTCTGAGCTAAATATCTTTATACCAGTTGGCGCCGCACGCATTGCGCGCACAGCAGTTCTGCGGCGATATGGATGGTGCGGCGTGAATTCTCGAATTTGGCCCAATACACTTCGAATATTTGACTTTCAAGCTGAATTCTATCCGATTGTCCCATGCTCTCATCCACCGATGGCTTTTGACCTTCCCTCCTTCGTCAACCAATTGTCCGCTTTTCCCGGTCTCGGACTGCCTCTGGACCGATTTATAAATCTCGTGGTAAACTCCGCCTATTTCTTTGCATGTCCCACCTATCTTTTTCTTCCTCGCCAACCTCTCCCACTTTTTACCCGATCTCTGAACTGTCTCTGAGCCGATTTATATTTTGGCGGCGAACCTGCTTTTTTGGTGTATCCTCCGCACACCCATAGAAATTCACTTCCTTTCCTTCGCCCACTTTTTTTCCGTCTCCAGGACTACTTGAAGCCGAGTTACAAAGTTTCGTAGATAACTCCGCCCACTTTGGACATGTCCCGCCCACCAATAGCAGTTGGGCTCCACTCCTTCACCCACCATCCACCTTTTCCCGGCCTCCGGGACTTCTTGGAGCCGAGTTATGAATTTTCGTCGCAAACTCCGCCCACTTTGGTCAAGCCCCGCCCACCGATGACAGCTGGCCTCCACTCCTCCACCCACCTCTATCCACCTTTTTCCCGGCCTCCGGGACTTCTTGGAACCGAGTTATGAATTTCGTCGCAAACTCCGCCCACTTTGGTGCACGCTCCACCCACCAATAGCAGTTGTCCTCCCGTGCGTTGTCGGACTCGACCCACTTTTCCCGGTCTCCTGGACTTCTCGGAACTAAATTATAAGTTTAGGGCAAACTCCGCCCACGTTGGTGCACGCCCCACCCACCAATAGCAGTTGACCTCCCTTCCGTTGACGGACTCAATTCACTTTTTTCCCGGTCTCCAGGACTTCTTGGAACCGAGTTATGAATTTTCGTCGCAAACTCCGCCCACTTTGGTCATGCCCCGCCCACCGATGACAGCTGGCCTCCACTCCTTCCACCTTTTTCCCGGCCTCCGGGACTTCTTGGAGCCGAGTTATGAATTTTCGTCGCAAACTCCGCCCACTTTGGTCAGCCCCGCCCACCGATGACAGCTGGCCTCCACTCCTCCACCCACCTCTATCCACCTTTTCCCGGCCTCCGGGACTTCTTGGAACCGAGTTATGAATTTTCGTCGCAAACTCCGCCCACTTTGGTCAAGCCCCGCCCACCGATGACAGCTGGCCTCCACTCCTTCCACCTTTTTCCCGGCCTCCGGGACTTCTTGGAGCCGAGTTATGAATTTTCGTCGCAAACTCCGCCCACTTTGGTCAGCCCCGCCCACCGATGACAGCTGGCCTCCACTCCTCCACCCACCTCTATCCCGGACCTTTTCCCGGCCTCCGGGACTTCTTGGAACCGAGTTATGAATTTTCGTCGCAAACTCCGCCCACTTTGGTCAGCCCCGCCCACCGGTGACAGCTGGCCTCCACTCCTCCACTCACCTCTATCCACCTTTTCCCGGCCTCCGGGACTTCTTGGAACCGAGTTATGAATTTTCGTCGCAAAATCCGCCCACTTTGGTCATGCCCTGCCCACCGGTGACAGCTGGCCTCCACTCCTCCACTCACCTCTAT